TGTGGGAGCGCACTGACCAGCAGGGGGCAGCTCCTGCATTGAGCGTCTGCCCCCTGGTGGTCAGTGCTCATCATAGTGACCGGTCGTTCCACCAGTTGTCCTGCCATTTGATCGATTTGCATATTAGGGTTTTATTATATAGGATATATTAGAAGGGTTGCTGTTGTTTTATGTACAAAAAGATAGCCTTCTGTTATAAGGTTGATGTCTTGAATGACCCATTCATGAAAATTCACTTAGTCCAGCTTAATGAAGCCTATGTCCTCACATACTGATGGAAACACTGGCTACACATGTTGAGGCCATATTTCCAGATCAGACCATGGCGGTTTGAACAGATGCGGTAAAAATGAGAACCATGGCCAAATTTCCTCAGAAGGCTCCAGTAGAGTTATTGGTGACCCATCTTGCTCTCTCTGTAGCAATGAGGCAAAAGTTTTTCTCAATATAATTTTGGTATTATCTTATTTAACCCTGGAAAGTAGGAAGGCAGGAATCATTGTCTTACTTTTAAAAATGAAGAACCAAGGCTCTGAGAGTTTAAATGACTTGTCCAAGTTTATACAAGTAACACATTAGTTCTTGAGTCTGGACTAAATCCAGGTCTACTAACTCTAGGACAATACTAAGTGATGCCACTTCTTGATATTCTAAAACTAGTTTTATTTCTTTTTGTTTTTATTTCAAATTTTTTATTGTATTTACATCTTGAATTTTTATTGCCTTTTAGTCTGATTTGCACACCAATCTTTTTCCTTATTAATATGTTGGTCTTATATTGATTACTGATAGAAAAATAGTGATGAACTTAAATCCCTCGATTGCCTGGCAGCAAAGAACAATCTTAAGAAAATAAGTTCTAGATATTATTTGTTTATGTGGTTTCCTGAACCTCAGGCCTTACCTGTATAATAGTAGTCCTCTGGGTCTTTGTATACTGCAATAAGAGAGCATGACAGAAAGATGAACCCAAGGAGGGAGATTTTGTGAAAGTGATACCTGAATGGCGAGCTGAGGTTCTCCCCCAGGATCGTGTCTCACAAAGCTAAAGAATGAAATCAAAGACCAGAAGATTTAAGCAAAAGCATGGAAAATGTATTGCAAGCATATTCAGACTCTCTGCACAGGAAGGGGACCTAATAATGGGTTGCCACTGAAGCCTTTTAGTCTAGGGCAGTGGTCGGCAAACTACGGCTTGGCAAACCGAGGCTCGCGAGCCACATGCGGCTCTTTGGCCCCTTGAGCATAGCTCTTCCACAAAATACTAGCTCTTCAACAAAATACTGACTTCTGCGCATGGGCCACGAAGTTTCAATCACACTGTACGTGCGTGCCTGCACGTGGTATTTTGTGGAAGAGCCTCACTCAAGGGGCCAAAGAGCCGCATGTGGCTCGTGAGCCGTGGTTTGCCGACCACAGGTCTAGGGGATTATATATGTTACAAGCCTACTCTATATCTAACCGTGTGGCCACCTGATTGATCCCCTCAATTATTCTTGCCTAGCAACGAACCTGGACTACGCCTATTCCTACGCCTCAGTTCACCTTATTGTTGCAGCCTTTCCCTGGTTTCACATATCTCCAACTCTGAGTCTAAAAACATTGTTATTTCTGCAAGGTTGGTTTCTATGGTTAGGCTTGCTCATTGCCGTGTCTGCCCCTGACAACGTTCCATCTGCTTTTGTTTTCTACTGGCCCCTGCCCTATCTGCCTGCATGTCAATCTAACTCCTCTCAAAAGTCAAAGTTATTTATTTGATGGGCCTTAGTTATCTATACTAATAAAAGGGTAATATGCTAATTAGACTGGGAAACCAAACATCTTCTGGACATCTGACTTCCTTCTGGACAAAGCCATGGTGGTGGGGGCCGAGGCGGAGGCAATTAGGGGCGATCAGGCTGGCAGGGGAGTGCAGTTGGGAGCCATCAGGCCTGCAGGGCAGGGCAGTTGGGGGCCATCAGGCTGGCCAGGAAAGGCAGTTGGGAGCTATTGGGCCGGCAGGGGAGGGCAGTTGGGGGCCATCAGGACGGCAGGACAGGGCAGTTGGGGGCCTTCAGGCCAGCAGGGAAGGGCAGTTGGGGGCCATCAGGTTGGCAGGGGAGCGGTTAGGCGGTGATCAGGCTGGCAGGCACGCAAGTGGTTAGGAGCCAGCAGGCCAGATTGTGAGAGGGATGTCTGACTGCCAGTTTAGGCCCCTGTGGGATGGGGCGTAAACTGGCAATCAGACAATCCTGAGGGGTCCTGGATTGGACAGGGTGCAGGCTGGGCTGAGGGACACCCC